AAATCCCTCCTTCCATGGCTGGTGGGAAAGGCAGCTCCAGCACCAAAGACATCTCACAAAACCACTCAAAAAGCAGCAGCACAGTTCTGGGATCGGTGCCTTGTGGACAAGAACCATTTAGCAGAGTTCCTAGGAGAGGTTGGCAGGTTAACTGCAGAGATGCCAAATCCCCTTCATTCCTGAAGGCCTCAGTTTTGAGCACAGTGGGTAGTTCCCCCATGCAAAAACCTTTCTGTATCTCAAAGCAACATAAATGGGATCTTGAGCTCTCAGGGGGAAGGACATGAGGACGTGAAACAGCTCCTTCATGAGAGTGTGAGAGACGCTGTGGGATGTTCACTGCTCCCAAGAGCCACAGGAACACAGCAAGGCCAAGCTGGGTTATTCCCACAGCTCCAGCACTGCCCTGTGGGCTTGGACCTGTCACATCCCCATGTCCTGCCCTGGCAGCCCGTGCTGCAGCACCCAGGGCTCATCAGCTGTGCTCTGAACACCTTCACTTCACCCCATGGGTGCCCTGCTGGGATAGCACTAAGCAGGAATTCCCAGTAGAAGGAAGGAGAAGAGGTTGTTTCAACCTCAACTGAGAATCCTTCAGCCAGAACTCACCTGACACAAAGGGATTCTCTTGATCAGCCCCTTGAGGGCACAGACATTAAAGCCACCATCCTGGTTGCTCTGGGACTACTCCATGTGTCTGAAGTAATTGTGGAGACTGGTATGGTCTGTTAATTCACTTGCAGTGATTTGAACCTTCCACCAGTCAGTGGAAGGGAAGCTTGTCTTCTCACAAATGGCCGGGACTTGTTGAGGGGATTAATATGGAATGTCCCATCCCTGGCAGGCATCGAGGCCAGGCTGGACAGGGCTTGGAGCAACCTGGTCTAGTGGGAAGTGTCCCTGCCCGTGTCAGGGGGTTGGAGCTGGATGAGCTTGGGTTGGTCCCTTGCAACCCAAACCATTCCATGATTCTATGATGATTCTGTGATTATGGTAAGCATCTGCTCTGGTGAGGAAATTCTTCTGTACTGGGACCAGCACCGTTTCTGACGGAGTCACTCTGTCAGATTGCCAGGTTACTGCCACTCTCTACAGGCAATATCGAGTCTGAATGCTTCCGGGGGCTAAAATACCAGTAGAAATATGAGATGTGGAGTCACACATCAAGTCCATCTTCAGTAGCTGCTTTCAACAGGCAGGGCAAGAGTGAGAACCCAGGAATTTCAGAGAAAGGTGTGCATCAGGTTTCCATACTGGACATAGGCTCACAGCAGTGTTTCTGAAGCACTCCTTTATCTGGAGGAGAGCCAGGCCTGGACTTGGAGCAGCCTCTCTGCTGCCATGCACCAGCAGCTCAGGCTCCTCCTAGCTTCAGAGAATGCTGATTTTAGCTCACTGGCTTCCAGGCCATGCTGCTGGCCACCGGGAGGATGAGTCCTGCATCTGCTATTGAGACTTGGCAACCAGACGTGTCCCTAGGGGTGCAGCAGAACGATACCTGCAGCTGGGTCGATGTCCCAGCATCGCTCTGCGGTCACTCGGTGAGCTCTGAGGTGCAGGTTGGATGGGGAGTGTCAAGTAAACAGCCACCACCAAGAGAAGCCCTGTGGGCAGCAGGGGCTCTGTATGAAGGGACAAAGGGCTTCTCACAGTGACCATGTTTCACTTGAGGTGCCTGTGCTCGGCACCCTTGATGGACTGGTCCCCTCTGGTACCCATGTCCCGGCCACGGTGTCCATCCTGTGCGGCTTGGAGAGGAGGAGGAGGATGTGGGCATCGTGTGACCAGTTAACCAGTCATGTGTGACCAGTTAACCAGTTAAGCAGACGGTTAAACACTGGGGGCGTAAGAAGCTCCTTGGCTGCTCCAGCAAACACTGCCGTGGCTGTGTTTGGTTTATTGAGGATACACACAGTGCCCTGGCTGCGCTTCAGGAATAAGTTACGGATCCAGCAGCCAGCAGCACAGCTTCGCTGGGTGAGGAACAGGAGGAAACACACTCCCTGCAGGCTCAAGGTGCCACAGGCATGGGGTGATAAAGTGGGTGAAGAAACACGTTGTCAGTTTGCGGGCAATGACACCAAGAGCTGCTCCGCTCTGACCTGCTGGAAACACAACCCAAGCCACGCAATTCCCCTCGCATTTTCCAGTTGGGAATACAGGTGGGAATGGTCCCGGAGTACAGGCTGGACCTGGAGCAGCTGCAAGGCTGACACAGGTCTCTATCAAACAGGCATTAACATGAAATATGATTAAACTAATTAACATCCTTGAATTGAAATGGAGCCAAACCAGCCCAGACCAAACTGGTGGTGTTCTTCGAAGCGGTTGCAGAACATGCTCTAAATATACCTGTGATCTAATGGATGGAGGCTTCTGAGGCAGCCTGGCTTAATAACTCCTTAACGGCTGGAAAATGAGTGTGCTACAAAATCAATATGGCAAAGAGGGATTGGCTTGGGAGGCGCAGGACTGATGCTTCCCCGGCACAACTGCTGAGGAGGGGCTTTGGGCTCTTGTGGTCCTTGTGGCACCTGTGCAGGGCCCAGCTCATGGTGCAGCTCCAGGAGTTGCCAAAGTCATGTGGAAAATGAGCGACAGTGCATGGAAGGGCTGCAGAGGGTGCTGGGGTGCAGCGCTGGAGCTGCATGTTGGTGGTTTGAGACCAGCACTGGTGCTGCTGCGAGGGAATGGTCGTGGAGGCAGGAGCTTGGAGAAGTGGAATGGCTGATGAGGGATCCTACTTGCCAACATGAAGGTCTGCGTGAGCGCCCATAACTGTCAGCGGAGCTGGAGGGGGTTGATGGCCCCAGTGCTGCAGTGATCTCACTTTGCATGAGCCAGTGCTCCCACCGCACATTAGCCAGTGACCCATGATGCACTGGCCAGTGATCCCAATGCGCATCAGCCAGTGCTCCCACCGCACATTAGCCAGTGACCCATGATGCACTGGCCAGTGATCCCAATGCGCATCAGCCAGTGTTCCCACCGCACATTAGCCAGTGACCCATGATGCACTGGCCAGTGATCCCAATGTGCATCAGCCAGTGTTCTCACCATGCACAGGGACCCACCATGCAGTGGCCAGTGATCCCACCTTATGCTAGCCAGTGATCACACTGTGCACTGGCCAGTGATCCCACTGTGCATTGGCTAGTGATCCCAATGTGCATCAACCCACGATCCCACGGCAGCAATCCCACCATGCACTGGCAGCCCTGTGCCTGTGTACCCACATCTGTGCACAGCCAGAAGTGGGAGCACTGGCCCTGTGGCCGAGTGTCCCCAGGGCAGCGTGCAGAGTGCTGGGAGCAGTCATAGAGGGGTGCAAGGGAGCAGGATGCAAGGAGCAGGGTGCAGAGCACAAGGTGCATGGTGCAGGGTACTTGGAACAGGATGCAAGGTGCAGGATGCAGGAAGCAGGGTGCATGGTGCAGGGAGCAGCGTGTCTGGTGCATGGCTGCAGCCTGACCAGGCGTGCTGCAGCATGCAGACGCTCAGCTCTGCAATACCTACGTCTTCTGCGAGCTTCTCGTGGCTGTTTCTAACAACATAAAGGGCCTTTTGGAGATCTGAGCTGGTGTTCAGCATCTCCGCACTGCCTAAAAGCGGTACTGGAGTGACATTTAGAAGCAGTGTAAGGGAAGGGCAGCTATTTATTCCTGATGAGGTGTTTTTCCTTCGGGGACGGGAGCGTAGCGCAGCGCTGGAGCAGCAGGCTGGGGCTGGCCGCATCCCGGCGCACATCCACGGTGTGACGGGTGCCTTTGGCAGAAGGCTGCCGGGGCTTGTGCCTGCCAATGGGGGATGGCCGAGGGGGTTCGGGGACCCTGCTCATCCCAGGCGCGGAGCCGCTTGTTTCGGAGCCGGGTCCCGTTCCCGGCTCTCCGCTGGTGCCCGGGACCGCGGGCAGCGCTGCTCCGTGACGGCGGCGTCGCTCCCTGGGGAAGCTCAGGCTGCCCCAGGCCGAGGAGCAGCATCCCCGCTCCTTGTTCTGCGGGGAGCCCGGTGCCCCTTCGGCTCACAGCCATTTCTGGGGTGCTCTTCCCGCCGCAGCAGCCGCTCCGCCCTATCTGTACCTCTCCCGGCACCACCTCCAGCTGCAGGAGGAGACCCCGCAGCTCTGCCAGCCTGGGGGGCAGCCGGCGGGAGGGGACGGAGCAGCCCCACGGCGCTATGGAAGCCCCATGTACCGGGGGGACGTGGGGGCTGTGGGGTGGGGATGTAGGAACCCAGCGGGGGCTGCGAGTGTGCAACAGGGCGGCTGCAGCTGTGGGGCAAGGCTGGAGCTGGGGGAGGCTGCAGCACAGAGCTGGGGCTGCAGCACAGAACAGGGCGCCGCAGAGGGGCGGCGGCGGGGGCCGGGTCCCTGACAGTGATGCTGCGGCCGCCCCGAACCCCCTGATGGGGGGGCTCTGCGGTGCGCGCGCTGGGGGAACCCCGGCCCCGGTATTGCCGCCGTGCAGCGGCCGCTGCTGTGCCCCCGCCCGGGAGCTGAGCCCCCCCCCCCGTTCCTCCGGCCCGGGCAGCGCCACGGCCGCCAGGGGGCGCCTCTGTGCGCGGCCCCGAGCCCCGGCAGCGCCGGGTCAGGGCGGTGGCGGCGGGAGGTGCCGGGGGGCGGTGGCGGCGCCGGCCCCGCCCGCAGGGGGAGGAGCCTCCGGCGGCGGCACCTGCCCCGGGCCATGGTGCGCGCGGCAGCGGCGCGGCGCCGGAGGGAGCGGAGCGCGGCGCGGGGCGGGCGGCGCCGCGCCATGGAGCCGGCGGCGGGCGGCGGCCCCCCCGCAGCCGGTGCCCCCCCAGCCCCAGCCGCAGCCGGTGCCCGCGCCCGGGCCGCGCCGCGGCTGCCGGGGCTGCGCTGAGCCCCCCGCGGCCGCGCCGGGCACCCCCCCCCCATCCCCTTCCCCGCCCCGGCCCCCCGCCATGGCGCAGCCCTCGGGGCGCGGCGGGCCGAGCCGCGAGCTGCCGGGCATCAGCACCGTAACGTACGTCTTCGTTTACAGCCCCGGCGGACCGGCGGGGCCCCCCGGCCCCGGCACCGAGCCCGCGCCGCACGCCGCGCCCGCCCCGCTGCGCGGGCCCAAGCGGAAGCTGTACAGCGCCGTGCCCGGCCGCAAGTTCATCGTGGTCAAGAGCTACGCTCCGCAGGGCGAGGGCGAGATCCAGCTCAACCGGGGAGAAGCCGTGAAGGGTGAGTACGGGAGGGCGGCGGCGGGCGGGGACCGGGACGGGGGAGGGCGGGGATGGCAGCCAGCAGCGGGGATCCAGCCCGGGGATCCCGCTGCAGGCACCGGCTGGGCACCGGCAGCACTTGGCCTGTCTGGGGCTGCGGGGTCCCTCAGGCAGACGGTAGGGGCACAGGGCAGCCGGCCATAGGGCAGCCCTTGGTGCAGGTCCCGCAGTCAGGCCCTGGGGTGCTGACTGAGCTATGGGGTGCTGAGTGGGCTATGGGGTGCCGAGTGGGCTATGGGGTGCCGGTCAGGCCCCACAGGTGGCTCCTCGCTGTGGATTCTGGTCCTGCAGGCAGGCCCTGGGGTGTCAGTCCTGCCCTCTGACTCGTGGTTGTGGTGCCTGCACTCTGCTGGGACCCCCGGGAGAAGCGGGCGCCTCTCCGAGCCCTCCTCCCCAGCCCGTGGTTGATGCTGCTCCCTGCGAGCCGCTCCTGCCCTCCGCGGTGCCTGGGCCAGCAGCAGAGCTCCCAGGTGCAAGCCCCGCTCTTGCTGGGTGTGGGCTGAGCGGGAGGGTGGGCAAGGGCATCCTCAACAAACCTCCCAGCCACACGCGCTGGGAGCCAGGGCGATGCGGGGCTCACGGGGAGATGAGAGGCTTAGAGGGATAATGGCATTGCCCGTTACGTTGGGCAGGCTTCCCGACAGACATGTAAACCCTGCGGTAGGTTGTAAGTCAGCTTCCAGCAGGCAGGGATAAGAAAAGGCTTGCTCTGCACGCAGGCAGATTCCATAGTTTTCCACAGAAAGTTGAAGGATTTTCTTCTCATCTTCTGCCTCTGCTTTTTGCTGATCCCTCCTAAAATGCAGGCTGGAGCAGTTGCTGGTCTGACTGGTTGCATTAGCTGGAATGTGGATCTGAGCTTGGGGGCTTGCTGTGCCATGCTCTGCATTGCTGCTTCAGAAGCACCTTGGAGCTCCAAGTCCTGTGCTGTGAATGCTGCAAACCTCCCCTTGGAGGTGGCAGCCTCGCAGACCTGCTGCTGTAGTATCCCTGAGTGGAGGAGGAGGAGGGAGACGTGAAGTGCTGTGACTTGGCTGATGGCGAGGTTCCCTGCATGGGTTAGTTGGATGTAACGGGTGTTTGATGTGTGGAGCTATGTGCTGAGCGGTTGTGGGGCATCCAGGAGGCTCAAGGAATCAACAGATGGATGCAGCTTCGGTCAGAAGTGCTTTTCCCAGCTCTCCTTGTCACCCGGTGTTTTCCATCACACCCTGCTGTGTCTCCTCACACTCTAGCAGTATGCATGTAGTCCTGATGCCAGTCCTTAGTCATTGCAACAGAATCCTCGGTTCACTTATTCACCTGCACTTGGTTGCATATCTTCTTCATGTGCTCTCCAGAGAGAAAGCAAGTGGTGGGAACCTCTGTGGGGAGGAACCATGGATCAGGGTGGGCAAGAGCTCCTCAGGGCTGCTCTCCTTATGCATGGCCGAAAAGGCTTGGCAGGAGTTAAAAGAGAATCCCTTGAGCGAGATCTCTCCAGGCCATGCAGATGGGCAGCGCTCAGCTGTTTACTGCTTGGAGATGCTGATTAATGTCTGTGGAGATGGGGATATGGCAGTTCCTGGGTAGGGTGCCCTTGTGCTGTGAAGGGGCACAGTGATGGGGATGAATGGAAACCAGCCTGAGTGGAGCTGATGCGCCGGTGCTTTGTCACGGCTGGCGGAGTCGTGACTCCTTTGGAAACGGTGATCTCAGTTGGTGGCAAGAACTTGCTCCCAGCCGGCCTGTGGGCAATAGAAGCTGGTGCAGGTGAAGGTCCCTGATGGAGCTGGTGCTGGAGCCCTGCTCTGAGCTAACGGAAATGCCCCCAGATGAGCAGCAGCAGTGAGAGGTGCTGGGGGAGTGTTTTGGCTGTGGGCAGTTGGTTTGGCAGCGTGGGGACTTCAGATGAGGGCTCTGCAAAGGGAGTTCCAGCTCTGGAGAGACTGCTTGAGCTGCCTGGAATCTGCGTGCTCGGGATGGAGGGTCCTGGAAGGAGAGGGTGGCAGTGGAGGAAGTGTTGAAGTGTGGTGGGTATGAGAGCAGAGCTGCTTAGGGAACGGTAGGAGACTGTTTGGGGACTGTTGTCAAAGAACTGGTGGAGGCTGTTGCCTTATGAGAGGAGCTGCGTGTGGGGAGATGTGCCAGGGCGAGAGCCCTGCAGGGAGGACCTCTGAGAGTGCGATGCTGAGGGGGAAACCTGTCCTGAGGTGCAGGTCTGAGTGTTCACAGGCAGGAGTGTGCTGTGAAAAGGACCCCCACAGGGAGGGCAGTGCTGGGCAGGCACAGGCTGGTCTGGAAGCTGTGATAGGGCCCATGTCTCACCTTCACTTGTGCTAGTGAGGGACTTAACAGCCCAGCCTTCAGTGCAGTGCAGCTCACTGATCTCAGATGGCTGGGGCTGCACTCACTGATCTCAGATGGCTGGGGCTGCACTCACTGATCTCAGATACCTGGGGCTGCACTCACACTGATCTCAGATGGCTGGGGCTGCACTCACACTGATCTCAGATGGCTGGGGCTGCACTCACTGATCTCAGATGGCTGGGGCTGCACTCACTGATCTCAGATGGCTGGGGCTGCACTCACACTGATCTCAGATGGCTGGGGCTGCACTCACACTGATCTCAGATGGCTGGGGCTGCACTCACTGATCTCAGATACCTGGGGCTGCACTCACACTGATCTCAGATGGCTGGGGCTGCACTCACACTGATCTCAGATGGCTGGGGCTGCACTCACTGATCTCAGATGGCTGGGGCTGCACTCACACTGATCTCAGATGGCTGGGGCTGCACTCACTGATCTCAGATGGCTGGGGCTGCACTCACTGATCTCAGATGGCTGGGGCTGCACTCACACATCTCAGATGGCTGGGGCTGCACTCACACTGATCTCAGATGGCTGGGGCTGCACTCACACTGATCTCAGATGGCTGGGGCTGCACTCACTGATCTCAGATGGCTGGGGCTGCACTCACTGATCTCAGATGGCTGGGGCTGCACTCACTGATCTCAGATGGCTGGGGCTGCACTCACACTGATCTCAGATGGCTGGGGCTGCACTCACTGATCTCAGATGGCTGGGGCTGCACTCACTGATCTCAGATGGCTGGGGCTGCACTCACTGATCTCAGATGGCTGGGGCTGCACTCACTGATCTCAGATGGCTGGGGCTGCACTCACACTGATCTCAGATGGCTGGGGCTGCACTCACTGATCTCAGATGGCTGGGGCTGCACTCACACTGATCTCAGATGGCTGGGGCTGCACTCACACTGATCTCAGATGGCTGGGGCTGCACTCACACTGATCTCAGATGGCTGGGGCTGCACTCACACTGATCTCAGATGGCTGGGGCTGCACTCACTGATCTCAGATGGCTGGGGCTGCACTCACTGATCTCAGATGGCTGGGGCTGCACTCACTGATCTCAGATGGCTGGGGCTGCACTCACACTGATCTCAGATGGCTGGGGCTGCACTCACACTGATCTCAGATGGCTGGGGCTGCACTCACTGATCTCAGATGGCTGGGGCTGCACTCACTGATCTCAGATGGCTGGGGCTGCACTCACACTGATCTCAGATGGCTGGGGCTGCACTCACACTGATCTCAGATGGCTGGGGCTGCACTCACTGATCTCAGATGGCTGGGGCTGCACTCACACTGATCTCAGATACCTGGGGCTGCACTCACTGATCTCAGATGGCTGGGGCTGCACTCACACTGATCTCAGATGGCTGGGGCTGCACTCACACTGATCTCAGATGGCTGGGGCTGCACTCACTGATCTCAGATGGCTGGGGCTGCACTCACTGATCTCAGATGGCTGGGGCTGCACTCACTGATCTCAGATGGCTGGGGCTGCACTCACTGATCTCAGATGGCTGGGGCTGCACTCACACTGATCTCAGATGGCTGGGGCTGCACTCACTGATCTCAGATGGCTGGGGCTGCACTCACTGATCTCAGATGGCTGGGGCTGCACTCACACTGATCTCAGATGGCTGGGGCTGCACTCACTGATCTCAGATACCTGGGGCTGCACTCACTGATCTCAGATACCTGGGGCTGCACTCACTGATCTCTCGCACACTTACTTCAGAAGGATGGGGTTCTAAGGGAGGGCTGGGGTTCTGAGCAGTTACTGTCAGTGGGAAATGGCAAAGCATCTGGCAGCTTTTATCTTGGGAATTGCAGAGAAGATGGAGGAGAGTTTGAGCTGGAGCAGCACGAGCTCTGTATTGTGTGTGTAAGCCATGCAGGGGTTTGAGTGTGGCCCTAGTTCATGCACCACTGTGTTACAAAGCAAATGCTGCTTGTTGGTGTGGTGCATTGAGAGAAAGCTGGGGATGCTTGAGCATTCACCCAGGGTCATGTTCAGAGGTGATGTTGACAGCAGTGGACTTCTGCTGAACACTGGTGTTTAGCCGTGTTTGTGTACTGGCCTTGGTGAAGCGGAGATGTGCTGAACCTGATGTTGTGGGAAGTGTTTCCTCAGGGCTTTCCTGTAGGAATTGGTTTGCTTTCAGGAGCACAGGGAAAGTTAAGGGTGTCTCTGTTTACTACGCTGTCACTGTCCTGGTAGCTGTTGGATGGCAGCAGGCAATAATCAATATAGGTATTTCGTTGGTGAGATAGCTAAAGAATTCAAGCAGAGGAGAGTCTGTCCTTGATCTGCTTGCTACTGATAATGAGAAAAGAAATGAGATGTGAGCACCCCAAGCAAAGGGAAAACCAGTAGTCACCAGCACTGGAATCACAGGGTCACAGGGAGAAATGGTTCATAGGCAGGGCACGATGAGGACTGGAAACCAGGGAGAAATCTGGAGCGCTTTGAGCGTGCTGGTTTTTGAGTCTTATTTCTTTGCACTTTGTGATTAGGAGGAGTTATTCTGGAGCAACTGTTACCATGTGCATCCGACAGGAGGTTTTCCTCTCCAGTGTGGCTCCTTATTGACATTCTGTGCTGCAG